ACTATACTCTCGTACCTCATTTACTCCCAATCTTTGTATTCATGTCATCAAAATATATATTTTCAAATTCAAATGCGACTTTTAGGAAGAAAAAAATTTACATTCAACCAAAAAATTCAAATGGCTTCATTAACCCTAATCCCTATTTTTATTTTTATTTTTATTATCAATAAACGGTGAAAATTACAACCGAGCTAAAATAGATAATCAAATAGAAGGAATTGATTGTTTTAATTGTCGTTAGTCCACCAAAGATTTAACATCTACTATGCCGAGTATACCTTTAATCAAACTAACAAAGTAACCAATTATGTATCTGTGATCTTTACTAATCACATGATAGACAAATGGAGTTAATCGATTTCAAAGACATCACCAGTTTATGCGTCCCATTTCAATTGAATATTATAAAGATGTGATTTTTTTACACATGTTCATTATTAGATTGATATTATTTCGTCTATCGTGAAATAGTAATATATCATAGTAGGTCTAGCTAATGGGGTCGACATGTAACAGCCTAGTTTTGTAGCCGAAATAATTTTTGAAATTATGTGATGTAAATGTAATAATTTAAAGTTTGGTGAATTAAATAAGTTTCATTTACACCAACATTCAAGTTTAAAGATGGATGCAAGATGATCATGGTGGTGTAATTGAAGCGGTTTTCAAAATTTGGTGATGTAAATGAAAAATATTAAAAGTTTAGTGGTCAAAGTGAAATTTAGTCTAAAGCTTAGTGATCACTGTTAAAATTAACGCTTTATGTTAATTAAGTACTCAGTATATTTAACAATTTCAATTTGGAAATAAAATATAAAAATAAAATAATAATCAAATATAGATATCATATTATTGCAATATTTGTTTTCAGTTCTTCCACTTAGGTGTTGAAAATGGTACAGCTCGGATTTTATTTCCAAATTAAACTTAGATGAATATTTTGGTAAGTAATTAATAATTGATTCATTTTTCTATAGAGTTTTGGATAGATAATAATAATATACTAGTGAGCCTAAATTAGGCAATGTACCTTAGCTTGGTAAGACATTAGGTTCATATATACATGATATCTTACACAATGTTCTAAAATGCGTAATGCGCTGCGAGGCGTCGCGGTCGAGAATCAAGAATCACGAGTTTAGGCGTGTCAATGCGAAGAATAAGCGTCATAATGCGTTTCGTATTTTTAATACTATTTTAATTATTTTTAAGACATTAATATATTTTTTTATATAAAAAAAATAGATTTTTTACTTTTAAAAAAAAAGATAATTAAAAAATGATAATTTTTTACANAAAAAAATGGGTTAATTTCAAATTTTTCATTTTAATTGAAGGACCTTTTTCATTTTAATTGAACTGACCAAAATAGTTGAAACTTGAACCTTGAGAACTTATATTGCAAATTTGACAAACCACCATTAACAACCAGTCAACAAGATGCATCAAAAAATTTGACAAACCAAGTTACCAACATTAACAAATCAAAATAAACAAGATATAAGTTAAAACTTAAAAGTTAAAACTGAATTAGGCCAACAAATGGGGTCAGCAACATGAACAGAAGCTATAGTTCCCATAAACAAAAGGTTGGCCACTGGCAGCAAGTAGTGTGGCATTGAAAATCGATTCAGGCTTGACTCTCCCCCTCTCCATTAGATTCTCATTATTACCACCTCTATTCATCAGCTTGTTTTCATCTTCCTTCAGAAAGGCTGAAAATCCCCCTAAATTTCTAGCACCACTAGAGTTCAACCCAGATGGGGTCTCATGCCCGCCAAAGCCAACACCGCTCTTGGCACTTCGAATTCCAATCCAAAGAACCCCATTTTCTGCCCTAAAAAATACAATTGAATCCCCTGCAACCAGCTTCTTCTGATTCACAAAGGAACTCCAACCATTTTTCTTGAATTTACAAGAGGCATTATCGCTCCATTGTGTGTGTTTTAGTGGTCAACACTTGTCTTGACCGCATTTTTACACGCATATCTTGAATGCGATGCGTTTTGACAGCGCCTTGCGCCTAGGCGGTGCATTAAGCCGCCTTTTAGAACACTGATCTTACATGAATATATAGTATTTCACAAGGTTTTAAATGGTGTAAAACATGGCAATATGGCAGGATCAAACCTAAAACTTTACTAGCCTAGACGAAGCCTAAACATAATTTCGTGAATGCCTTCTTGACACCTCAAGTCTAGATCCCACGTTTTAGAACACTGATATTACGAACGGGACGTTGTAAACTTTTGTTATTTTTTGAATAGTAGTATGTCCTATATTTAACGTGAAATATACACTAAATGCCTAGCTCAATATATACACTTTTGTTACTTCCGTGCATTCAAAAATCATATCTGTCGATTTCGTGAAGGTAACGTAACATTTATGACGTGTCTGGTGCTGATTCTTCATCAGCTTAAAATTGAAACAGAGACCATTGCTTTGCCAATGTAGACCCCACCTCTGAGATGGCTTGTCAAAAAAGACGGCATGATTTTATGAAATCAATTTTTTTGCTTCAAAAAGCAGGCTCAGGCAGTCCCTTAGTTTTACTAACAAGATCCACACAATATTGTCCGAAAAGTGACGGTCCACACACACGAAAAAAGGACGGGAAAATGGTTTCTTAGGCTATAATGACTGGACGACAAACAAAGTGAAAATCTAAATGACAATCAATCTGTGAAATCATCGTACACAGAAGATGAGGCGAATTTATTCATGTTCGCAATATTTTATCAGTATAGTACAGAGAAGACGAGCAGACAACAAAACATTGCTCGATATTTAGGATTCAACACGGAAGAAATCAAGAGCTTCACCAGCATTTAAGTGTTTATAGAATCTCGTCTTTCTAAAATCTTCGAACTTGAAAGGAACATAAAGACAAGGATGTTCAGAATCCACCAACTCGAGTGGAGTTTCTACCATTGTATCCCTCGGTCCTAAGAGAAATGTTGCAATTGAGATCCTTATTCCTTCTTCCTTGCATACTACTCGATGCTTCACATTGTAGAATCTTCCGTTGCTCCACGCCTTTACATGCAAACATATATTCATTAGATCATCATCACGGGGCAAAAAAAAAAATCTTCAAATTATCATACAATGAAAAGAGTTCACTCACTGTGGCAATGTCCCCAAGAGTAACAAGAAGGGTGCCTGGACAAGGATCAATTGCCACGAATTTTCCGGATTTTTCCATAACTTCAAGGCCACTAAGAATTTCGTCGTCCTGTACTACAGTAAAAAAACCATTATCTGTGTGCGTTTTTAGACCATCAGAACCTATTGTTTCATGAGTGAAAGGATATTTGTTAATCCTAAACTGGCAGGGCCAAGCTTCAAATGGAACGCTTTTGAGACCCAATCCTTGTCCTACTTTTTGCCCAATATCTGTAATAAGTTCATGTACTGCTTTAGCATAACTTTCAATAGTCTCCCTGTTGATAACAATATCCACCAATTAGCAGTTATCTTAATATTATAGAAACTAATGTGAAAGTACATATGCAACAAAAATTACACTTCCAATGACCTCATTCCTAGCTCCGATCACATCATGGTGAACGACAAATGGAAGGTATACCCTGAAATTATTCGACTTCTCACATCTTTATTCTCTTGATACTCCACGGATTACTATGTCAAAACTTTACAGATATTTCGAATCCAAATTAACTAACATCATCAAGTTTTTCACTGCTTTGCATCATATATTTTCTCATGTTAATCACGTCATCTAATAATTTCCAAAACAGGTACTTTGGCATTAATGGATCAAAATGAAATCCAGCATAGAGTATCTGCAGGGTGCTGAAAGAATAAGGAAAGCACTGATGGCCATCCTTAATCATAATAAAATAATTAATTAAATGCAGTAGTTCATTTCGAGCCAGATTATGGAAGTGATGCAGAAAAACAGTCTTTGAAATTCTTCATGGTCTCAATCTGATGCATAATTACCTAACATATGTCAACTTGAAAGAATTCAATTTCCTCGAATCTCATTTCCATCCAAATCTACATCGCATCAAAATTGCTTTTCTGTCATATTGCAAAGTTGTAATTAACGGAATGAACACTTAAATACGAGACTAAATTAAATAGCAATATTGCAGTCTTCATGTTTAGTAGAAGAACAGAACTTAAACCCCATAAAATCTCCATTTTTAAATTAAGGATTCATACCTAAGCCTCCAGTTTGGCTCTGCTAAAAATAAGATTTTTAGTAGATTTTGAAAAACGTTTGATTGCAAAATTGATAAAAGTTGCAAGTTCATCAGATGTGTAATTAAAAATAAGTTCGGTGAAAAATAAGTTCTTTTGAATGGATGGATGCAAGTCCACTTGATTTGAATCATTTCATTTTTGAATTGACTCCAAATTGGGCAGAATCATCAAAATCTTTATCCACCAATGAATTAATGTGCCAACTCATCGGTGCTTACGATAAGATGAGCACCGGTGCTCATTAGATCATTTCTGTATATATATATATATATATATATATATATATATATATATATATATATATATATATATAAAACAAATAAATTTTTTAGCTTCCCTCGGTTCATATCATCATCATAATCTGTAATCCTTTTTTCACCTAAATGAACATGAATTTGGAAATTTGAACCAAATCCATTTGTTATCCAATCAACAGATCATAAAAGCGACATTAAGCTGAAATCCATAGATCTAGTGGACAACTTGATATAGGTAGAGCTTATAGTCATCCAGATCTAGCTGATGAGGGTCTTGTAAGTTCTAAAAGGAAGGCTGAATTGTAATTCTAGCATTCTACGGCGCTAAATTGAGCTTGGGTTTTGGGCTTACAAATTACTTGTTCACCCTCTTCTTACAAGTCAATTTTAAAAGGTTATAATCACATCTATTGTTGTAAATTTCGATCAAGAATTGAAAAACAAATGATAATGACAAAAGGGTTCAAACCTCTGCTGAGGAGTTGCATCCAATTGATTACAAAAGGCATCAACAGCATGAGAAGAGGCAATATCATAGAGCCCAAAGCCCTCATGAATAGAATTGATTTTCCCCGGTTTATTATACCCACTGCCCACAATTACATCCACATTACGCTCTTTGATCTCCAATGGAAGCTCGAAAAGTTCAGTCACCACCGCTTTCATTTGAGACATTAGTTGAACAGGTAAAATACTGTCAAAATTCTCAAGCCTAAAGCATCCGTTTTCTTCACAGGCCTTGATCAACTCCGGTAGCTGCGCCGGAAAATGCAACATATCGATAACAGGAACAACATTATTATTGCCCGACGCATCCGCCATTTTCTTTGTTTTATGGTTTTGGCTGGGTTAGATATGCACGAAACGAAAATACTCGTCACTGAGTAGCTTTATATGTCATCTTTCTGCCACTAAACTCCCCCTCCCCCAACAAAACACAACAAAAAAAAAGAAAAAGGAAAATGAAAATCTGTGAGGCAACTTTTTGTTCCAATTAAAATTTCCAACTTCTCAGTTTGCATAATAAGCTTTTCATTCTCATTTTTCTACTTATTTTAAATCACATATTTTTCAATAAAATAATATTTTCCATCACATCTTTAACTTTTCCTTCCTTTTCAACCACACATTCTCCATCAATATACTATTTCAAAATACATTCTTCCAAAATAACGTGGCTCAAACACACCCTAAGCCATGTTTCATGTCCATTAAAAAGTGTTTTTTTTTTTAGAATATAAATTTTGGAATAATTATTTTTAGAGAATGTGTGGTTAAAAGTAGATATTTTTTTTTTTGAAAAAAATTTATGTGTAATATATTTAGTTGCGAAAATGTGTAAAAAAGTAAGTTTTAGAAAAACAGAATTTTCGAAGAATGATAGACAAATGGGGGATAACTTAAAAAAAATTTCATGTTGAGGTCTAATATTATTAATTTAGTTAGGCATATAAGATAGAAAATATGAATCATGTATGACCTAGCAAAATAGTCCAATAAAATACAATCATGCTACATTTACATCTTTGTCGATATTCTTCCACATGAATCCATCAAACCCTTTAATTTTGAATTTATCTATCACATCACTGCACATACTTCTTTCATATAGAGGGATATCAACGACAATGTTATGAAGAAACAAATTAATTTATTATTGCTTTTGCAACTCAAATAATTTTTTAAAATAAATAAACGAAAAAAGAAGTTTTACCATTAGATTTTGAAATCAAGGTGGATCGCTAAGCCCCGTTTATCTTCGGCCCAAGAACGCTCAATCAATGAGCTATTACACACTCTGTTCAAGGATGGATACTTCTAGACAAACCTCCCGATTGTCTCTATACTCCTAGCTGCTTTATCACCAAGAGATCATCTTAGTTGGTGACCCATTTCCCAAGACTTTCATCTCTCTTGTCTCTATTCCTTCCTTTATTTTTTTCATTTATTTCTCTTATCCCTCTAACACTCGTCCACGCTCTCTTTTTTCACACACACACACACTCTCTTTTATCGTTCTTCCAACTTCATCTATCCCTTATTGCTCTTACACCTCTCTCATTCACGCACACATTCCCACACGTTTCTTTCCTACCCTCTCATTCACCTACACTTCCCATACGTTTCTTTCCTATATTGTCTCTTATTTACGGTTCATACTCTCTCTTAGTCTCTTTTAGTAATTCTTTCTTTTGTCTCACACGTAACCAATTGAACTTACGTATAGTAGGGAGCAAACAAAATTTAAAAAACTTTCCATTTTGGATCGAATTCAACTTTTTGAAGTTTTCGAGGTAGGACATGACATATGTGCAAGTTGGCTGTCTTTTAATGTATTTTCTTATTTACATACTTCCCTACATGAAAATGCTAATTTACTTTGGGGTCCTCTATGAAATGAAATGCTAGATTGCTATAGAATTTTCTCAAGAATTACTCAAAATTATGTTTATTAGAGATATCACTTGATCACCGACTGATCTTTGATTAAATGATAGTATAAATTGTCGAGTTAATATCATATTTGGATCCATGTCCTACTAGGTATTTTAAATATTCATTCATATTTTATTACCTATTTCATATTAGTTCGGGTGAGTTAGGAGGTTTGCGAAACTGTGAACCGATTTGAAAAAGATACTATTTTAAAGTTTTTTTTTCTTGTCAAGTGAACTTAATTTTATGAGCTTATTATTAGTTTGTTTTTTATTCAATGCTTACTGCATTATTTCAAATGTGAATATAATATACTTAAGTTTAATTAATCAAAAGTTTAGTGTTAAGCATTAAATTTTATAAATTTTTGTCATATTTTACTTCTTAAGCTGTTTTTTCACAAATATAAATATATAAAATTACTAAAACTTGAATTGTTTGCTTTGAAAATTATAATTCACCCCCTCCCTCACATGGGTTCGGGTCCCACATCCAATAAATGCGCGGGACCCGACCCCCATGTGAGAGAGGGAATGTCTGATAAACCAAAGTGTATCCCAAAGAGTATATGTAGCAAGATTATAAAATAAACTTTGAAACGGTAATATTATAGTTATGACATCAGAACAAGATTATACTTTTTTGTAGAATTGTTAAAATTATTTTCTTTGATTATGTGCTAAATACTAAATTTAAACATGCTTTTATGATTAAAAGAAATATTATCTTTAGCAGTCGTGAAAAGTGACATACAGTAAATAGTGACAAAATCATTTTTATTTTAAAGATAATTTTTTCTTATGGCTGTACAGAAATTGAAAAAGAAAAGTAGGAAAAAAATTAAATTTGATGCTAAATGTTGAGAGTTGATGTTTATTTCAAAAGTTTACTGTCCAGCAATAAATATAGGAAAAATTTCAAATCTGAGATTAAGTTTCAAAATTAAGAAACAAAGTTTATTATTTCAAAAATTAAATATTAATTAAATTTTATTTATGAAATAATTAATTAAATATATATTTTATTAATTAAATATATTAATGTCACAATTCTATACTATTGGTCATTCACAATTTATTCATCAGTCACACATTAAAAAAAATATAGGCCATAATTAAATATATTTAGGTCACAATTCTATACAATTTGATCACAACTTTTTAAATTATTTATCGACCACAAATAAAAAAATTTATAGGTCACAATTTATTTATTGATCACAGATCATAAATTTTATGAGTAACAACTCAAATTTTTAAGTCATATATTATTTATTGGTTACACATTATTTTTTAGTCATGAGATACCAAAATTAATGATCACAATCTCAAATAATTGATCACAAATCCTCTTAATCCCCTACCCCAATCCACCATGGCACCACCACTTCAAACAATTACCGTCGCCCAACCACAACTACCACACCACCACCACAACCACCACCTTACCAACATTGCCAACATTAGCACAACCTCACCATCGCAGCCAAAATCACGATCACGACCACCCAAACACAACCAAATCCAAAATTACAGATCCAATATCGTTGACCACAATACCTACCGTGGTAACACACCTTCATTTCTTCTCATTGCCGATTTCAGCCTCAACCTATACCCGTAGCAAATTGCATTAATAACCACGCCAAAAAGCCTTGACAGCACCAACCTATGCTAGCTCCATTGCTCATCCCTAAACGACGCTCACAACGTCGAACGTCTCTGTGCACGATTTTCGTGGTGGCGCTGCAGCTTCCGGTGGATGGATGGAGTGAGGATTGTAAGTGTTATGCCCTAAATTCAATCAACTTTGACATAAATAATTTTTTTAATATATATAATCGATGCATATTCATGACAAGATTTATTATTTAATTGAATTAATATTCTAATAAATTAAATAATAGAATCCGCATATTTAAGTTTTGGTGATTTGTTAATCACAAAGAGTTGTGATTGTGAGATACAAATTACATATGATTGAATCTTAAATCGTCTGTGGTCGTATGTAATAACGAGATACGGATATCGTTATTTCAAATAGACTATCACGTATGACATTTCTTACTTGAAAAGTAAGTAACTGATCTCACAAGTTAAAAGTTTGGTGACACTTGAATGAACACATGGGTGTTTTGTTATAGAACAAAACATTGGAGACCCACTGGGAGATTTCACATGAAGAACTATCTGAGTGTCGTGGTTAATCTCTAACGTTCGGTAGTGAAATTGGTCCTTTGATTTGAGGTATCATAGTGCCTTATATGATGACAATCATACTTTGGTGATGTTGAATGCTGCTCTGCCAATGGTTGCTAATATGGTATCGTTTGGGTATGTCAAGAATCATATGAAAGTTGTGAATGATCAATAAAGGATTCGTCACTCTTAGATAGTAAGAGATTATGATCTACATTTCATTCAGTTAAGTTGATAATGAAATCATTGGCCAATGTGTACTCATAAGTCGAAATGAGTTTTCGGTTTATATTGACTTAATAGTGGAATGAAAGATATGATCAATAATTGAAATTGACACATATTCATATCTTATAATTGATCAGATCATATTGACGAAGAGATTATAGTTTTACGATAAACGAATAAGTTTAGTTTTGTTATACTACGTGACATTTTCCGTCACATGTATTACCCGAAATGTTAGATGTCAATTTGGGACAACGAATGTGAATTGGTGATAAATTAAAAGTGGTATTTTAATTTTTCGATTTTAATTAGATCAAAATAATAATTCCCGTAGTTAGGCATCATGATCGAAAACCTGATGGGTCACATACAAAAAGAGAACCAGAAGAATGAGATTCACCAATTAATTAATTAACAAATGTTGGACAATTAATTGATTGAGTTCTTGTTAATATACCCAAATTAATTAATTCATGGATCAAATTTAATTAATTGAATTAATTAAATATTGGATCGAGTTAAGTTTAAGAGATGAGTCAAGTCCACTTGAACTTATATTTATAAGCTATTAGGTTTTTAGAAAAGAATAGAACATAATTCATATTCTTGCTAGTACAAGAAAAGATAAACTCTAATTCTCTCATTCTTGTTCCCTGTGTAGATTTTCACTGGAAACTGAACAATTGGACAGCTATGAATTGCAGATCGTGATTATTCGTATTCCAAGATAACCAAAAGGAGTTTACAGAATTCATCAAACTTATTATTCTATACACAATTTCTATCTAAACAAAAGGCAGATTCGTGGTGGGAATTGAAAGATTATTTATTTTTCACTATGCATGTTAAGTAAATTCCCAAGGATAACCACCGCGTTACCTCCACTGAATTCTGGCCCGACTCCTCCTCCGGCTAAAGTGTCATTACCAGTTTCAAACCAACTCAACACCACAAAAGGTG